AACCCAAGATGCTCAGGTTGGGCTTCAAGGCTCTGGTGTTTTTTTTAGCTCGCGGGCTTTCTGCGCAGCCGGGAGTCGACGGAGACCGCACACCGAAACTCCTGAGATGTTTAACAAGAGCTTTTATGGTTTAGGGGCTTAGGTTTTAGGGGTTTAGGAGCTTCGGGTTTAGGGGTTTAGGGTTTAGGGTAGGTTTAGGGGTTTAGGGTTTAGGGTAGACTTAGAGGCTTCCAGTGGATGTGCAAAGCAATAGGGTGTAATTAGTTTTTGGGGTGTTGGGAGGGTGTAGAAAGGCTTGCGCATTCGTTCAGAAAGTTGGGGGGGGTGGCTTTCAGGATCGATTGTCATTTGTGCAGGGCGTTACAGCCCGAGGTTTGCGAAATAGCATCTGTGGGGTTTGGCACATGCCTCAACGTGGCATTATTTTTTCTCTGCCTGGGTTGCCTGCATCAGCTTCAATCAGCGTTGCAGAGTGTTCTGTAGGTTTGGGAATGAGGTATAGACTTTTTACTTCTGTGTCAAGCCACACATACAAGTTGGTCCAGATGACCGGCAGACCAGGAAGCTTGTCTGTCCGGCCAATTCTTCTGGGGCCGGTCCAGCTCGTGGGCAGCTTCAGTTTGTATCTGGTGTTGCAAAGCTTGCCTGTGCTGCTTCACATTGCTTCCTCCTTCCTTACTGGCACTGTGATGGTCATCCTGACGGTCGCAGCCTCCTGCTTGCTCGGCTTTCTCTTTCTCGCTCACGTTGCTCGGGCATACTCTCGTGAGCTGGCTGTGCTGGAACAGCAACTGGCAGACTTCAAGATCGAGGATGCGACGTGTTTCTGCTGCACCGTGAACCATGTGAACATGGGTCAAGCAATGTCCTGCGATCGTCTAGTGATGTGTCGCTGCATCGAGTCCTGGTTCGGCAGCCTTGAAGATTCTTAGTTAGCCAATAGGAGAACTTTAAACTTTTTGGCCTTATATATTTGGTCTATCCTAAAAAGTTTGAACTTTTTTGGGCCTGGTTGTTGAAGAAGAGAGGATTTCGAGCTCTATGTGCGACATCACGTGCGGACGGCCGTCTTGAAACAGACGAGCCCCGGACTCCTGCCCCCCGGTATTCTGGGCAGTTCTCTAAGTTATAGGATCCCTTTTTTTAGGGCCCCAAAATAGTGAGGCTCTCTTGTAAAAAGGACTCTTAAAGGGGACCCCAATTTCTTGAACTACCCATGTGGCTCGCAAAGGGCTCTGCCTTAATTAAGGGTTTTGGCGGAGCAGTAGAGTAGAAAGTCTTCGCCGAAAGTTTCAAGAAGCTGCGAACGGGATGTTTTCGGACGGATGAGGAGGCGGTGCTACAACTCATCTAAGGTACAGGCTGGTGGTAGAGGCTGCCTGCCCCATCATGTGGTTCTTCCTCGACCGATTGGCTTATGCCCTTACGAGGGATTACCTGGAGTTGTATCCCCTTTGGCCTGTCTCCGTGCTTCTTGTGGCCTGGCAAGACAGAAGATTTCATTGAAGTTCCAACTTATTTGGGGAAACACTGAAGAAGACAAAAGGCTTCAATACATTTCGAAGACTTCACCCTAAACCCTACATTGAACCCAAATCCCGCAAGGGATGGGATGGGAAAAAGGAGGGAAGAAAGACCCTTGAGGATGCAATGGTTTGGTGGCTGGCCGTGCCGCCTGGCCTGATCATATCTACAGAACGACATGACTCGTTCTTCACGGTTGGTGTACATGTGTGTATACGTCTTAATGACACACACATACACACGTTTACGCCCATGAGTCCATCCATCCATGCATGCATGCATGCCTGCATGTGTTTCTGTAAGGCTTAGAGTGTATATACATAAGTTTGTAGAGGTACATAGCGGCACGGAGGCTATGATATATCGCGCCGACAGAAGCCTCGACCATCCAAGAACGATGTGATTTTAAGCCTTGTGCCTGAAGCTCATCTTCGTACTTTGGGGAAGGTTTGTATTCTGTAACGTTGGGAAGCGCCTGGGGCCTGTCAAAAGCGTACATATACGTTTGCATGTGTATATGTAGACATATGTATACATACACACATACATCTACATATACATACATACAT